TGACTTGAAGTCCTGTGGACTTCAAGTCACCAAGGTTGAGAAACACTGATCTAGGCCACCCCTCTGGTCAGGGCGGCAGGAGGGACCGCTGACTGAAGCAACCATCCCTGGCGTTAAAAGGGTTGCAGGTGGAAAAGGACTCCCCATGCCATCGTCCCTTGTCACAGAAAGGGACTCTTTAAAAAAAAATATTAATTTTTATTTATTTATTTATTTTCATATCAGTAACCACCAGATTATTAACGGATCAACCGCAGCGATTCACTTAACAAGTGCGGCAAGGAAGGTCGTAAAACGGGGTAGACCTCAAGACTTCACGAACGCCTCACTGAGCGACATACATTTTGGGCTCAGTTGTGACTGAGGCAAGCATCCTTGGCGCTAAAGGGATTGCAGGTGGAAAAGGACTCCCCACACCATCGTCCCCGGCTCAGAAAGGGACTTTTTTTTTTAAAGGTTTTTTTAATTTTCATTTTCATATCAGTAACAACTAGATTATTAACGGCTCAACCGCAGCGATAAAGTGCAGCAAGGAAGGTTGTAAAATGGGGCAGAACTCAAGACTTCACAAACACCTGACTGAGCAACATAAATTTTGGGTTCAATTGTGGGTCCTAAGTCGACTGCGTAAGGTGGCTCAGTGGCTAAGACGCTGAGCTTGTCAATCAGAAAGGTCGTCAGTTCAGCGGTTCAAATCCCTAGCATTGCTTCTCTGAAGGCTGGTGGGGTAGAGCCTCCGGAAGCTCTCATGGTCATCTAGCCCACCCCTCTGGTCCGGGCCGCAGGAAGGACCGCTGATTGAGGCAACCATCCCTGCCGCTAAAAGGATTGCAGATGGAAAAGGACTCCCCATGCCATCGTCCCCGGCACAGAAAGGGACTCCCTCTTTTTTGAAAAGTTTTTTTAATTTTCATATAAGTATCCACAAGTATACCATTGCATCTTAAGAAACACTATTATGTGTTATCCATTATTATATCCATTCTTCTCACCATCCACCCACAATAACTCTCATTTGCTCTTCTGCTTTCCATACACCATATTATAGTAGTGGCAAAAATTGTGGAAACATTTCTGGGAAAAGTGTACAGTATTTTTGAGGTTTGATGGCTAATAACACCACTTTTTTGTGGGGAGTAGTACCATAAAAGTATATATCAATAGAAGGATTGAATTGACTGCAAGTTAAGTTCGTTTTAGGAGACTCCATCCAAGTGGGAAAATATAATAGACCCTGTAGTTTTGACATTCATTTACCTTGGAACAGTATTTCCCATCTCTGCTTCCCTCCTTAAGTACCCAAATTTTAAAACGAGACATCTAACAAGGACAGAGATATGAAAGGTTAACCTTGTAACAAATCTCATGCTTAGAACTAGAATGTATGGCAATTCCAGCTGAAAATTAGGATGGCGGGAACCCATGATGAGACTATAAAACCTCCCAATGTTTTACACTTAATCTCAATGTTGCACATAAACACAGACCAAAATGCAAACTAATATTTTAACAACACAACCACTTGGACTGAGGTTATTGACAAGAATATGGTTTTAGGTTTTATAATCTCAAAGATCCAACAGTTAGTGAATTATTGTGGATTTTATTTATTTTATTTTATTTGCAAACCAGTGGGATACCTGTTAAAGTATGGTATTCAAAAACCAAGTTTGATGGTACCTTTTCAGGCTAAGAAACTTTTCAAAAAGGATGAAAATTTCTGCTCTTTAATGAGTCTGAAAAGTTGCTACTAGACTCCTCTGATTTTTGCAAACTATCTGAATTCTTAAAGAAGAGTTCTTTTCCATCTTCTTTCCATTGATTTTAATCCACTCCTCAGGTAATAAGGGTGCAAAAGATGACTGCTACAATCGTGCCTTATTGTTATATTTGTGATGCAGAGACTGGTGAGGATGGCAGAAAAATTATTGGCAGTTCACTCCCTTCTATCCATGACATAGCATAAAAGGGATGCTTGAGCAGGATCCACAGGATTGTTTGGGATGCTACACATCCTCTTCACAACCTGTTTTCCTTGTTACCTTCTGGAAGTGGGCTTCAGGGTATCCGAAGCAGAACATCCAGATTCAGTCAGTTTTGTTCCATACAATATCAACCTTGTGAGCTCTCAAGCTTCCTCTTTCTGTTATGTATTCAAGATGGACAATGATTAACATTTATATGTATTTATATGTATAGGTGTAGGTATATACGTATGTATGTATATAGCAGGGTTGTTAAACTCAAGGCCCGGCCTGCGGGATGCTTAGATCTGACCCGCGGGGCCGCCCTGGAAACAGCGAAGGACTGGCCTGCCAGTGAAAACGGAGTTGGGGGGGGGGCGCATGTAGCCCTCCTGGGTCCTGTTTCCGGCCAAGACAGCCTCCTGCAGCACTCTGCCAGCGAAAACAGGGCCCATTTTTGTTGGCAGAGAGCTGCAGGAGGCTGTCGCGGCTGAAAACAAGGCCCGGGATGGCCACATGCGCGCCCCATTTGGGCATGCAAGAAGGGGTAGGAAAGGAGAAAAGGAAAGAGGAAAAGGAGAAAGAAAAGGAACAGTGGGAAGAGAGCCAGGAAGGAAAAATAAGGAAAAGGGAAGGAAGAAGAAAGAATGAAGAGAGAAGGAAAAAGAAGGGAAGGAAGGAAAGAAAGAATATGAGAGTGACAGGGTCGAGGGAAGTCCTGCCTTAGCGCTTGGCCACCACAGGTGCCTCCGACACGATTGATGTCGAGCTGGCCTTGCCTATTCCAGCCACACCACTCTGGCCCTCCGAGGTCAAATGCAACCCCTGATGAAGCCCTCAATGAAATCGAGTTTGACACCCCTGGTATTTAGCATGTCTATATGGGTGTTATGTGTACCCTTTTGAGAGCAGGCAATAGAATTTCATTCCTAATGTGTGCCAGGGTGCTCACAGTAAAAATTGACAATAAAGGTTATCTTAACCAGTTACTACTGGTTGCTGCAGTACATCCCAATATTTGATTTCCATAATCAATGACAAAGTCTAGTAGCAGAAGTTCTCCCTTTTATTATGAGCTGAGTCATTTATCATTAGAGGAATCCTTTGCATCTGGAGTCCTTTCTGTGCCATGATGACTGCATCTGGATATCTTCTTGTGGTGTGACACTTGCTTTGGCACCATCGTACTGTCACCAAGAAGGATGATCTGATTCAAGTCCCCCCCTTAATCAGGGGCTGGGGGCTGAGCTACCCTGTAGCTAAAGGTAAGGTAGAAAAATATTAACCCACATATATCAAAGACGCAAAATCAAGGTATTTGTCCGTCAAAAAAGGGCTCCCGGGGTTTATTCTTCTTGCAAAGATAAAAAAAAATCCTTGTTTATTTTGACAAAGCAACAGAATTAATTTTCTGGAGTTGCCTGTTTCTGAGAATTGTTACTTTGGACTTCCTTGGAGTTCTTTTTCATTTTCTGGACAAGTGTCCTATTAAAAAGTAAAAGGAACAAGTAAGTTATAAGAAACACAGCCAACTTTCTGAAACTTTAAAAACCAAACCAAAAGTTAATTACCCCTTAACGTTTTTGTAGAAGGATATATACTCATTTCAATAAGAATAAGAATAAATTAAACCTGTATGCCACCTGATTTCCAGAGACTCTGAGTGGCTTGTTTAGAGCTGAAAACCCCAAATCAGTGGTAGCAAACTACTTTGTGTTCAGGTGGCTTGAAATTGATTCTCAAAAAGAATAAAGGATCCTTGGAAATAGATAAATGTGCTTGTTTAGCGACCACAACTGGGACACACAATTCGGTCATTAAGCAAAATATTTGCTAAATGATGACACCATGACTGTGCTTATGATCTTACTTCCATTTTCCTTTACTTTACCGGCTTCCAAAGGTTGTAAATGCAAGGACCAACTGCAGAGTTACCTTTTCATCAACTTTGTAACTCTGAACAGTCATTAAATGAGGCAGTCGCTAAATAAAGATTACCTTGAGTCAAAACTTTGAAAATTCTCAGCCAGAAACAACAAACAAGGACTATTTTCTGTATTTAACATAGCACAATTTAATCATATTGTTTTTAACACTACTTATAACACAACTTGCTGGGGGAAATATTAATAAAAAGTAGAACAAATAGAACAGAGATCCTGTGTTTATATGCCAACAAAGAAGGGAATGGCATGAAAAGCCTATTAAGAGCTACTTTTTAAAAAGTCAACCTAAACAGTGACAGATTTATACCAAAAAAAAGTTGCATCTATTGCTATGTTAATAATAATGTTTCTGACACTGATATTGACCAAAGGGAGTTGGACTAGAAGACCTCCAAGGTCCCTTCCAACTACGTTATTCTGCTAAGGATCCACTGGGAAATGTTACATTCCTTAATAGGAAATTTGCAAAACAGCAAATTGAAAGCACTCTACTCTTAAAGTTTTTCTAGGAATGTTCTTAAATGTGCATGGCAGCGGTAGGATTCAAAAAATTTTACTACCAGTTTTTTTGGCGTGGCATGGCTTGGTGGACATGGCAGAGGAAGGATACTGCAAAATCCCCATTCCCTCCCCAATCTAGGGGGAAGGATACTGTAAAATCTCCATTTCCACCCCACTCCAGGGCAAGGATTTTGTAAAATCCCCATTCCTGCTTTCCCACCCCCACTAACCTGCTTTCCAGCTCCATTCTCCTGTGCAGGGCAACAGAAGAAGACCCAGCCGATCAGCTGGGACTCCGATCAGCTGGGACTCGGGAGGCAGCGAATAGATGGGGGCGGAGCCAGCCAGAGGTGGTATTTGCTGGTTCTCTGAACTACTCAAAATTTCTGCTATCAGTTTACCAGAACCGGTCAGAACTGGCTGAATACCACCTCTGGTGCACGGTGTTATTTCATTGGCTCCTATATTCACCTACATTTGCATCTATATGCAGCACTGTTCAAAAAATCATTTGGATCCAGGAGTGTTTACTTACTTGTTTTTCTTGGCTTTCTTTTGTAAGAACTTAAGCGAAGTAAGGATGTGTGCCCTTTCCAAGGGCTTCTTTGTAAATTTCTTCTTTTGCTTGCTGAATATGACATTCAGGGCAGAGGAAAAAGAAAGGAGAAATAAACTAGAAACAGTTCATTAGCAAAGTTTACAGTTTCCTTCCCTGCTCCCTTTCTTTTTCCTGTTCCTTGTTGTGAACCTGAGCTAGCAAACTATCAAATCCACCAGAGAGCTAATCTGAACAGAACTCCTCAATCTGATCTGGGTAGTCAGTGGAAACCATAATGTGGTTATAGGAACATCTGAACCCCCCCAAAAAAGGAGTCAAGAAGGAAGTGTGAAAGCATATGACATGTTTCAGTCATCTTGAAGTAGACCTAAGTGTGAAAAGTCAGTTGCAAGAACAGAAAACGTTTATATAAGTGTATAGAATAAACTGCCTACAGAAGTTACATTTGACATATTCAGTCAAATGTATGACTTGTGAGCAGCCCTCATTCAATTTCTAAAAGGAGGCAGATTTTCCAGAAGCCTGGAAACTAAAAAGAGAAAAAGAATATTTATTTAATAAGGAAAAGAAATTGGGGAGAACTCAAAACAAATAACTAAATAAAAGGCAGCTTGAGTTGGGACCATAGTTGCAATTTTGAGAACATGTAGTAAGCACGCTCAAAAAAAGGCTGCCTTAGAAGACTTGCTTAATATGATGGGGTGGATGGATGGATGGATGGATGGAAGGAAAGATTGGTTGATTGATTTATATAGCTGCCCATCTTGTAAGAAGTTATTCTGGGCAATATAAAATCATAAAACATATGAAAAAGAATCCTTATTAAAAGGTTTAAAAAGCATATGGCACATAAGAGAATAAATTAGCAAGAAAGTAGGCTAAAGATCTGACTGGTGAGTCACAAAGAGTTCATTTACCAGAATTACAGTAAAGAGCCGAGGTGGCGCAGTGGTTAGAGTGCAGTACTGCAGCCACTTCAGCTGACTGTTATCTGCAGTTCAGCGGTTCAAATCTCACTGGCTCAAGGTTGACTCAGCCTTCCATCCTTCCGAGGTGGGTGAAATGAGGACCCAGACTGTGGGGGCAATTTGCTGACTCAATTTGCCAAAAATCTGTAAATGCTTAGAGAGGGCTGAAATCCCTATGAAGCGGTATATAAGTCTAATAAATAAATAAATAGGAAGTAGAATAGAATAGAATAGAATAGAATAGAATAGAATAGAATAGAA